TTCCTTCAATGCAACACGGGAGGGTTAAAGTGTTTACACGCACATTTACAGAATTTTCTCAAAGACCAGAGTTTTACATTGTGTTTTCACCCTCACAGTGTTCGTGCAACCCTGATAGATTTTGTGCAAATCCATAATCTGCATGAATGACAGCAAGCCACGCTGCCGTAGTCCAAAGCAGACGTTTGAGCATACCAATGAAATATGCTCCAGATGTGTGGGAGTCAGAGTGATTTCCAAGAGCTGCTTTAAACTTTCAGTCCCTGGCACGTAATGATTTGGGGCAGGAGTGATTCTTCTCAGAGACGATGGCTTTTGCCCGTTTCTAGTTCCTCGTTTCTCAGAGTGTGGCAAAGTGTTTCAGAAATGTCTGCACATTACTTGCTGAGAAATGACCCTAGCCACTTTCCTTAAAAAGAGGTATTAAAACCCAAATATACAATTCTCTTCCCAAGTCCTGAACCCTGTGCCTCCACTTGCAGAGGTGAGGTGGATATTGGTCAGCAGAGGCACCTCCCTGTTTGAATGTGCTCCCACTTGATGCTCACTTGAGTGCCTGTCTTACTTACTTTCATGCACAAGATCAAAACAATTCCCTTTTACCTTTTAACAGTCTTTTATACTAACCTAGCAGTTCAAAAGCAAGAAATTGCAAGTAGATAAATAGGTACAACTTTGGTGGGAAGGTAACAGTGTTCCGTGCGCCTTGGTGTTTAGTCATGCCGGCCACATAACCACGGAAACGTCTTCGGACAGCGCTGGCTCTTCGGCTTTGAAACTGAGATGAGCACCGTAACCCTAGAGTCGGATTCGACTGGCTTTCGAGCAAGGGAACCTTTACCTTTACCTAAAGCTGTTTTGCTGATCTACCTCTAGCCTGAGGACTGATTTATGGGTATATGTTAAACTAATTAATATTTGTTTCCTGCAGTTTTTATATCCCTAGTTTGTTGTTGTTTTTATAATTCGATTGTATTATTTTTACTTGTTTGAGCTGCCTCCAGAAGGTCTCTAAAGAGGCGGCATATGAATTTGTAAAATAAACATTCAAAGCCGGGTAAGAATAGGGAGCCAATGCCTTACAATGGCTAAGCTTGGATCTGTGAGGTTCAGTTTCTGCTAGATTCACTAAGAGTGCAAAGCGGCCATTTTCCCAAAGGGAACTGAACTCTTTGGCCTGGAGGTCAGTTGTAATTCCAAGAGAACTCTAGGGACCACCTGGGCATTGGCACCCCTGAGAATCCTACTTAAAGCTACTTACTGGGACTAAGGATGGCCCTCTAAGTGGTTTTACATTCTCCCTCCACCTCCCCTCTGGTAGATGTAGCTAATACTGGTTTACTTTAGGGGCTACCATTAGGACTACCACTTTTATTTGGAGCCGTTTGAATACTGGGAGCGCCACATAGCTATGCATCGGAAAGCTGGCTGTTATTATGACCTACGATAGGGTAAACTCCACTTAGACTTCGAAGGCAACTCGTGATACTGCGCAGAGCGTCACTCCCGAAATCGTTCAGTCTTCCGACTGCGTTCATGGGACCGCCGCTGAATTAAACACTGCAAAACGACGGCTGCTTTTGAAGCAAAGGACAAACTGTCCGCTGTAGAAACGCAGAGCAAGAAGCATAGAGGAGGGGGGGGAGTGTTTGTTTTTGTAACATGGGAGGGAAGGCACCATGCACCCTGGCAGCAATTAACTTCTAAAAATAGAGGAGGAGATTGGATTTATACCCCGCCCAAAGGAGTCTCAAAGTGGCTTACAAACTCCTTTCCCTTCCCCTCCCCACAACAGACACCCTGGGAGGTAGGTGGGGCTGGGAGAGCTCTCCAGAGAAGTGCCCTTGAGAGAACAGCTCTGAAACAACTTGTAACTGACCCAAGGTCACACCAGCAGCTGCATGCGGAGGAGTTGGGGAATCAAACCCGGTTCTCCCTGATTAGAGTCCATGCTCCTAACCACTACACCAAACTGGCTGTCAGTTGTTAGGGCTGGAGATTGCTCACCAGCTAGCGACATGGCAATCTGTGACCTGTACCACTGTCTGTGTGCTAACTGTGATCCCTCATCAAAGAATTCTGTACATGTTCAGGAGCACTGTTCACATAGTCTAGGGATTGGCCTTGGTGTATTCAGATGACATTCTGTGCCGGAGGAGCCTTAGGTGTAAATTTAGCTCCCTGGCTTGGATTGCCCACTCCCTCTTAAAATCAAAATCCAACAGGAAGTGATGCACACTGATACCCATTGTGTGCTCCTCACTCTGTGTGGGGTTGTGTCCTGTTCTGGCCCTGTAGGGCAACTTGTTGGCCACTCTCTGAAAAAAGATGCTGGATTAGAAGGACCACCGGTCTGATCCCATAGAGCTCTTCTTAAGTTCTTACAGACTGCAAATGCATTATTGTAAAGAATGATCCTGTATTCCTTCTCATGGCAACTCCACATAAAATGATGTGCATTCACCACAGCTCCATACAACAAACTTTAACCCTAAATTATTGATTAGTAGATGGGGGGCTCAGGCAGAATCATGGGGAGGGGTGTAATAATCAATTGGGAAATATCCTCTTGACCCCCATCTCCACCCCCCCCCCATCAGTCTTGTCTTAACATTCTCATGGTAGTGAGGATTCACAATCCTCAGGGTATAGAGAGGGGATTTCGAAAACATTTCTGCACATCCAGGAGTATGTATAAACTCTAACCTTGCCTGCCAGTTGCTTGGTTTTTCCGATTTCGGTGTAAGACCTCCACTTTTAGTATCAGATATCAGAAAATGGGAGTCCCACAAAGAATCATTCACGGGGGGCGGATTAACTACTGGGGAACTCCCTCCCCCAAGCTAAATCTCCTCCCAGATAGGGTTGCCAACCTCCAGCTGGTGGCCAGAGACCTCCTGGTATTACAAGTGGTCTGCAGGCCACAGAGATCAGTTCACCTGGAGAAAATGGCAGCTTTGGAAGATAGACTCTATGGAATTATACCCTGATGAACCCACTCCCCTCCCCAAACCCCGCCCTCTTCAGGCTCCACCCCCCAAATCTCCAGGTATTTCCCAACCCAGAGCTGGCAACCCTACTCTCAGGGGATACTGAAAGGTCTCAGGAGTTTCAAAAGACGTATATCCACATTCCCTCTCCTCTTTTAACCCCCTTTTTAACTGGTTCTCAAAGACCTTGAACATTTCATGCCTCCTGAAGTTTTTTCAATCCGAATCAGGCTATTTGGGCATTTTCTTGAAGATAATTGTTGTATACTGAGATAATTGCATCAGCGCTAGCGAGGCCATGCAGTCAAGCTCACCTTCGGGTGCTTGGACAATAGAGGAATCGGATCCTAGGGCAGACCAATCGGAGTGCCTGGATTCTAGAGTAGACCTGTGATGGACTAGTAAAGGTAAAGGTCCCTTGCTTGAAAGCCAGTCGAATCCGACTCTAGGGTTGCAGTGCTCATCTCTGTTTCAAAGCCGAAGAGTCAGCGCTGTCCGAAGACGTTTCCATGGTCATGTGGCCGGCATGACTAAACACCAAGGCGCACAGAACGCTGTTACCTTCCCACCGAAGTGGTACCTATTTATCTACTTGCAATTTCTTGCTTTCGAACTGCTAGGTTGGCAGGAGCTGGAACTAGAGACGGGAGCTCACTCCATCATGCGGCAACTCAGGTCTCGAACTGCTGAACTGCCGACCTTCCACAGCCTGCAGTTCAGCGTCTTAACCACTTGAGCCACCGCAGCTCCATGTGATGGACTACTCCACTGTAAATAGCCTATCACTGGTATTGGGTGTGGGGTACTGCAGGGATATAAGCGGGGCTCGGACCTCGCTAGTTTGTACTTCGTTTTTGCTTGATTTAATACACACGAGCTGATCACTACTCAACGCCTCCGAACTCTGTACATTTCATAATTAACAATATTTATTTGTTTCAAGTAGGTAGCCGTTTTGGTCTGAAGCAACAGAATGAAGTTTGCGTCCAGTGGCACCTTGAAGGCCAACAAAGTTTAATTCTGGGTATAAGAAGTGTGCATGCACATTTCCTCAAATACCTGTGTGCACATGAAAGCTTATACCCAGAATTAGATGTGTTGGTCTTAAAGGTGCCATTGGACTCAAAACTTTGTTCTATTTGTTATCTCCCAGCCTATCTACACGGCTGGGTTGCCAGGATTGGAAAATACCTGGAGATTTGGGGGTGGAGCCTGATGAGGGCGGGGCTTGGAGAGGGGAGGGACTTCAGTAAGGCATAATAACCACAGAGCCCACCTTCCAGGTAAACTGATCTCTTTTCCCCTGGAGATGAGGTGTACTCTCAAGAGATCTCCAGCCACCACCTGGAGGCTGGCAACCCACCTCCAACCATGTGAATTGTAATGTCATATATCATACATGTCTTGTCTATCAAACGAGGCCACATTACATATATTTAATCTGATTATGCGGGCCCTTGTCCATGAAAGAGAACCCCGCCCTTAATAAAACCCCGCAAACCAAAGAACACTTTCCTGGGCGTAGGGTTGCCAACCACCAGACGGGGCCTGGAGATCCCCCAGAATCACAACCGACCTCCAGAGTACAGAGACCAACCCCCCTGGAGGAGATGGCCGTTTTGGAGGGTCTGGGCATTGCACACCCTTCCCTCCTCGAACCCCGCTCCTCCCCAGGCTCTCCACACACACACACCCAAATTCGAAAGAACCTGGGAGCAAGCCCCACTGAACAAAATGGGACTTACTTCTGGATGGAGACCTATGGAGGATTGGCTCCCTCCAAAAGGGCCACAAATCTCCCTTTTCTTGTCTTTGTTTCCTGTTTGCAACCCGAGCCTTTCGGGTTCCCTCTTCCCCGCTCCGGGAAGAAGCGGCCCCGCCTCCTTCAGCAAAAAAAGATCTATGGCTGCTGTTCATTTTTTTTTACAAAAAATATTTGTGTGCAAAGAAGAACTTCCCTTTGGATCTTTGTTGTCCTGCAAGCTGCAAGGGCCGAGCCGGCAAGGAGGGGAAGCCGATTTGGGTCCCAGACGGGGCGGCGAAGCGTTCCCGGCCCTGCCAGCCGCTCTTACGCGTCTTGGGGGCTTCCCACCTGACGCGAGTCGGTGTGCATTGTCACGCTGCCGCCCGTCACATGATCCGTGCGCCCGCAGGGAAGAGAAGCGGCGAGCCGCCCTGCAGCCAGCATGGCCCGCCTGCCCGCCGCCGTCCTCGTCCTGCTGGCCGCCGGATCCGCGGCCGCGGTGTGGCCGCAGCCCCAGTACGTGAGCGAGGGCGCGGGGGGCGGCTGCCGTTTGAGCGCCGCCCGGTTCCGCTTCGCCTATGCCGACCGCTCGGCGGTGGCGCCCGGCTGCGAGGTGCTGGATCAGGCGTTCCGCCGCTACTGGGAGCTCCTTTTCCTTGCTGGAGGTCAGTGAAGACGGGATAGCTTGTGTGTGTGCATGCGTGTGTGTGCGCTTGGTGAAGGATGCAAGTGCGCTCTGTGCATGCCCAGAGGCTCTCCCTTCCTTTACTTGCATTCTAGAGCTGAATGAAACCCTGGGTGTTGTTGATCTGGGTGACTGAAGAAGTGAGCAGTGCCTCACGAAAGCTCCTACCCTGGCACAGATTTTTTAGTCTTTAAGGTGCAACTGGGCTTTTGCTCTTTTCAGAACTGAGGAAGTGAGCGGTGACTCAGGAAACCTCCTACCCTGCCACCCATTTCTGTTAGTCTTTAAAGGGCTCCTGGACTCTTGTTCTATTCCACTGGGGAGGAATAAAACATGGATAGCTTTTGCACCCTGCTCTAGAAAGCCACCTTTGCCCTCTTGCAAAGGCGGAGGTTGTGCGTGCATGCATGCCTACTTAGGTGTAAGTCCTCCTCCCATTGAATGACCTCTCAAAAAATGAACCTGCACAGGTCATTTTTGTAAAAAAAAATCACAGCATCTCCATGGGGGTGCAAACTGCTTCCTGTAATACAGCTGCCAAAGACACCCATTTGGGTTCTGCTTTTTGGCCTTGCTGGTTTGATCTGTAGGAAGGGAAGCCAGTTACGTCCTTGTTCTGCTTCCATCTCATGCAGGGGTCCCCAACGTGGTGCCCGCCAAGACCTTTCATGAAGCCCACCAAGTGCTGGGAGAAAGTGGGTGGGGTCCTCCCCAGCAGGTCATCTGATCGCCCGTTTGAGCTCTGATTGGCTGTGAATTACTCTGTGTGACCTTGGGGCAACTAGTCTTTCAGCCTAACCTGCTTCGCAAGGCTTTCCAGGGAATAAAACAAGGAGTGGAGAACCTTGCACTGTACCCTAAGGTTCTTGGAGGAAGTTCAGGTTAAAAATGCACCAGACAGATAGATACACGATCCTCTTGCTTCATTCAGTCAGACGACTTGGGTAATCTGTTGTTGGACTTCCACCTACTCCTGTATAAATGCCCTCAAGCTAGAACTCTCTGCATTTTGCTCCCTCACGTTTTTGTTTGGTTTCCTTATATTATTTGGCCCCTTATGGTGTCAGATGGCTAAACCCCGCAGGATTTGCAACTGGCAGCCCAAAGGAGACTTGTACATACAGTACTAGGGAGCTGGATCCATGCCCGTTGCTCAGACTACCTTGGAAGGTACATGAAATAAAATATACGACAAGGATGTATGTTATCACCTTGCTTATTTAATATATATGCAGAGTACATCATGTGAAATGCTGGCCTGGATGAATCACAAGCGGGAATTAAGATTGCTGGGGAAAAGATCAACAACCTCAGATATGCATACGATACCACTCTAATGGCAGAAAGTGAAGAGAACCGAAAGAGTTTCTTGTTCAGGGTAAAAGAGGAGAGCGCAAAAGTGGGCTTGAAGCTCAACATAAAAAAAAAACTAAGATCATGGCATCCGGCCCCATCACTCCTTGGCAGATAGAAGGGGAAGTCATGGAAGTAGTGACAGACTTTACGTTCCTGGGATCCCAGATCACCGCAGACTGTGACAGCAGCCATGAAATTAAAAGACGCCTGCTCCTTGGGAGGAAAGCGATGGCGAACCTAAACAGCATGATAAAAAGTAGAGACATCACCCTGCCAACAAAAGTCCGCATGGTCAAAGCAATGGTATTCCCAGTAGTCATGTAGGGCTGCGAGAGTTGGACTATAAGGAAGGCCGAGTGCCGAAGAATAGATTCTTTTGAACTATGGCGCTGGAGAAGACTCTTGAGAGTCCCTTGGACTGCAAGAAGAACAAATCAGTCAATCCTAAAAGAAATCAACCCTGACTGTTCCCTGGAAGGCCAGATAATGAAACTGAAGCTCAAAGACTTTGGACACCAAATGAGAAGGGAGCACTCACTGGAGAAGACCCTGATGCTGGGAAAGATTGAAGGTCAAAGAACACGGGGACGGCAAAGGATGAGATGGTTAGACAGTGTCACAGATGCAACGAACATGAAATTGAGCAAACTTCAGAGGACGGCGGAAGATAGGAGGACCTGGTGTGATCTTGTCCATGGGGTCCCGAAGAGTCGGACTCGACTGTGTGGCTGAACAGCAACAAATAGCAGAATTATAATGTTGCCAGGGGGATTAATACTGCCTTATGTTGTGCCTTTCATGGCTCCTGCTTGAAATCCAGCCGTGAGCACATGGCAACTGAAGACCTGAAATATTTTAACGCTCACATTTTACTTATACCTGCATTTCTCCCCAAGTTGGCTTGCCATGTCATTTTCCCCTCTTCCATGAAGATAGATCCAGGTGGTCAGCCCTGTTGGTCTGAAGCAGTAGAGCAAAATTAGAGTCCAGTGGCACCTTTAAGACCAACAAAGTTTTATTCGAGGTGTGAGCTTTCGTATTTGAAAAAGTGTGCATGCATATGAAAGCTCATATCTTGAATAAGCCCTTGTTGGTCTTAAAGGTGCCACTGGACTCTAATTTTGTTCCCTCCTTCCATTTTATCCTCACAGCCCTGTGAAGTAGATGAGACTGAGAGAGAAGGTGACTGACCCAAGTGACATAGTAGGATTCGAACCTGGCTCTCCAGAGTCTAGACTGACTTTCTAACCTGGTTCTTCCCAAATGATGGACTTGCAAGTTCTGGGCGGAGTTTGAAGAATACTGTCCAAACTCCTCTTCTGACACTGGATCTCAAACACATAAATTGCCCATGAGAGTTCATTATCTGTTATTCTTGTAACCAAATTGGTGCCTGAGATGATATTGCACCTCTAAGGAAACGCAGGGAATCCAACCAAGGCATGCCAAGAGCATGAGAGATAGATCTGTAGGGGTGTCATACATCAAATTTGAAACTTGGCATGGTGGCATTGAGGCGAGAGACTGCCAGCAGTCAAAAATCCTAACAGGAAGCCTCTTTAAGATGTTTTGCAGACAGTTTAGAAACAGGGAAGTGATTTCAGGGTGAGGCGTACGGTGAATGTGCTGAGGAAGTTTCAGAACTGGTTAAAGCAACGGGCGGTGGGATGAGTGGGAGTAGGTCATAAGAACATAAGAGATGCCAATGTTGGATCAGGCCAATGGCCCATCCAGTCCAACACTCTGTCACACAGTGGCCAGAAATACCAGGTGCCACCAGGAGGTCCAACAGTGGGGCCAGGACACTAGAAGCGCTCCCACTGTTGACCCCCCCAAGCACCAAGAATGCAGAGCATTACTTGCCCCAGACCGACAGTTCCTATCTATACCTTGTGGCTAATAGCCACTGATGGACCTCTGCTCCATATGCTTATCTAATTCCCTTTTGAAGCCGTCCATGCTTGTAGCCGCCACCACTTCCTGTGGCAGTGAATTCCATGTGTTAATCACTCTTTGGGTGAAGAAGGACTTCCTTTTATCCGTTCTAACCCAACTGCTCAGCAATTTCATCGAGTGCCCACGAGTTCTTGTATTGTGAGAAAGGGAGAAAAGTACTTCTTTCTCTACCTGCTCTATCCTGTGCATAATCTTATAAACCTCGCTCATGTCACCCCTCCGTCGTCATTTCTCCAAGCTAAAGAGCCCCAAGTGCTTTAACCTTTCTTCATAGGTTCTTGGCATTGTTAGATGAATACACGGCTGTCTGGATATCCAGCACAAAAAGTTGTCAGAAGCAGTTCTACATCTGCCTGCGGAGATGGTACGAGCAGTTGCGTCCTGGATCCAGATCATGGAAGAGGAAATGTTCTTGTCAGAATTGGCAGATCGATCTCTCGATTAGAGGCTTATCCTACCATTTTTTCAAAGAACTCAGGCCCTTCTTCCTGTGGGGTGGTTAAGGCTGTGAGAGAGAGTGACTGAACCAAGGTCAGCCAATGAAATTCTAACACTGCAGGGGGATTTGAGGCAGGATCTCACACACAACTTGGGTGATAAGTTGCGACCTGGGAGGGATTTGCACTGGAAGTACTTTAGAGTACTTCATTAAGTATCTCAATAGATTCAGAGAGAGAAAGGGCAGAGACATCAAATCAAATCTGAAACAGTTGGAAGGCTTCTGGGAAGTGTGCTGTTATCGGTGCATAAGAGCATTACACACATATGCACCCTTTTCTGATTGGTAGTGCTTGGGAAAGCATGTTCATTTTTTGTCATCTATGGTCATGTGAGCACATCATATGGACATGAACAGAAGAAGAAGAAGAAGAGAAGGAGGAGGAGATTGGATTTATACCCCACCACTACCCAGAGGAGTCTCAGAGTGGCTTACAGTCTCCTTTCCCTTCCCCCTCCCCACAACAGACACCCTGTGAGGCAGGTGGGGCTGAGAGAGCCCTGGCAAGAACTGCTCTTTTTTAAGAACAGCTCTGACAGAACTATGGCTTGCCCAAGGTCATCCAGCAGGTGCAAGTGGGGAAATCAAACCCGGTTCTCCCAGATTAGAGTCTGCACACTTAACCACTACACCAAACTGGCTCTCACTGGGCAGGGCAGGATAAAGTAGCCAATACAACATGAAAGGTGGGAGGGAAGTTTATTTATACATACATTCGAAGTTGGCATGGTATCGCCTGATTGCATCAGATCTCAGCAGCTAAGCAGAGTCAGTACTTGGAAGGGAAACTCCCAAGGAAGACTCTGCAGAGGAAGGCAATGACAAATTACCTCTGCTTCTCACTTGCCTTGAAAGCCCCTTGCTGGGGGAAGCTAAGCCGGGTTAGTACTCAGATGGGAGACCACCAAGGAAGGCTCTGCAGAGGAAGGCACTGGCAAACCTCCTTTGCCTTGAAAACCCCTTGCTGGGAGAAGCTAAGCAGGGTTAGTACTTGGTTGGGAGGCCACCATTGAGGGCTCTGCAGAGGAAGCCAGTGGCCAACCACCTCTGCTTACTTCCCTTCAAAGCCCCTTGCTGGGGTCGCCATAGGTCGGCTGCGACTTGACGGCATTGGACGCACACACAAGATGAGCTGGCTGATGGAGAAGTACATAGAAGCCGTCCCACGAGGTGCTGTACCCTGGGTTTCCAGCGGAATAATTGAATGTTGTGTGATGGAGGAAAAAGGAACCCTGCGGTGTTCATCCTTTCCTTCATACTGTAGATCTAAATAGATACAAAAATGCTGTTTTTGCTCTTGCATGAACCTCTGATAAATTGGGGGACTATTACCAACATACTGGATGTCGGGAGTGTTCCTACCCTTCTAGCAGCTATGAGGAAGCGGAGCTTTAAAAGACATGGGGGACCAAACCTTCTATGTTGGAGGATATGTGGCCATAGAAACGGACAGCTCGCTCGGAGACCTTGGCTTAGTAAGCGGTCGTCCTGTGGTTTTGTGTTCTCGGGGAAGACAGTCTCACACACAGTTTGTAGCCATCTGTCCTGTTTTGTTGGCTCGGACTCTCGGGGTGCTTAGAAATCAGTTTGTGCAGTGCCTGGAATGAGGGTAGGAGCAGACGTAAAGCAAGCAATACCAACCCTTCATATTCTCCTTTGGAAAGGGACCGACTGCTCTGCTCTCCCAAAAAAACTAAAAACGGGAATCAGAAATGCAAAATTTAGAAAGTTCTGGTCACCAGTGGTAAATTACATGACGTCACACAACATTCTCCCCACAAATTCCATTTATCATAGATGGTTGTTCTTATAATACGCTAGCCACCAGCGTTACCTAAATTGTTGAGTCACCCTATAACCAATGTTCCCTCTAAGCTGTGGAGTCTTGTGAGCAAAAATTCTACTTGGTGAGCTACGGGCATTATAGTTGTGAGCGAACGATTTGGCTGCTGCATAAACTAGTTTGCTCAGGACCCATCCTTCCTGAGCTAAGACAAAAATGTGTGAGCTGGAGGCTAAAAAACTGTGAGCTGGCTCACACTAACTCAGCTTAGAGGGAACACTGCCTATAACTATGGTTTGGTTTCTAATACCGACTAGGGATGCAAAAGACTAAAGTAGCCATAAGCAAGTGAGGTTATTTGAACCTTTATCAAGGTCGGGTTTGTTTCCCAGGTCATATGGTAAAGACTATGGGCTCATCTCTTATATCTCTTTGCCGTACACCCTCCCGCTGTTTTCGTACCGGTGTTATTTCTATTCTTGCATTCTATTGTATTACCACGTAAAAAGTAAAAAAATTATTGTAAAGAAATGCAAGGGTTTTCCGGGCCAGATAGTGCTGTCAGCTCCAGGTTGGGGAATTCCTGGAGATTTAGGGGTGGAGCCAGCAGACAGAGTGGTTGGGGGGAAGGTACCTGGGGGGGGTTATAATGCCATGCAGTCCTCCTTTCAAGACAGCCATTTTCTCCAGGGGAATTGATCCATGTCCTCTGGAGATCAGTTGCAATACCAGGAGATCCACAGGCCCCACCTGGAGGTTGGCAACCCTAGAGATGAGGCCGGGGCACCCACCGCCATTGCCTTGGGCTTGCCTTCTGCTATGAGGAATCCCCTGGGCAGGCAGCCCTCCTTCCTTCCTTACTCCCGAGGTGTCTCTAAATACAGCATGGCAAGGACCAGGGCTATTTTTGGGCAGGAACGCACAGGAACGGAGTTCCGGCTGGCTCCCGAGTTTGCCACGCCCAGCAGGAACTCATTAGCATAATAGGCCACACCCAACAGCAGAAACTCATTAGGATTGGCTACATTAGGGGTGTGTGGCCTAACATGCAAAGGAGTTCCTGCTACAAAAAAGGCCCTGGGTTTTGACAACAAACAAGGTAAACAGAATAAGAAGCAAAAGGTGGGTGTGGCTGGATGACCACACTTCTGGTAACATGGGGGTGCGGCCTAATGTGCTAATGAGCTGTGCTGTCAGGGGTGTGGCCTAATATGCTAATGAGCTTCTGCTGCTGGGTGTAGCCTGTTATGCTAATGAGGTCCTGCTGGGCTTTTTCTACAAAAAGAGCCCTGGAGGACAGCATACCCAGAAGAGTTCCTGGAACCTTTGCAAGGATCTAAGTTTTCAGAACTCAGGTGTGAGTGCACAGGCAGGCGTGGATAATCTCAATTTTTATTTCTCGCTGGTATACAGGGCTCCATTGCGGTTGAGCTGTTAGAAGTTCACTAGGTGGTGTGCGGACTCTAATCTGAGAGAACTGGGTTTGATTCCCCACTCTTCTACTCGCAGCTGCTGGATGACCTTGGGCAAGCCACAGTTCTCTCAGAGCTGTCCTCGAAAAGAGCAGTTTCTGTCAGAGCTCTCTCAGCCCCACCTACCTCAGAGGGTAGCTGTTGTGGGGAGGGGAAGGGAAAGGAGTTCGCAAGCCATTTTGAGACTCCGAGTGAAGGGTGGGGTATAAATCCAATCTCTTCTTCTTCTTCTTTCAGTCTCAGTCCTGCATTTGCAATGTATGGATAACCATACTGGTTAGATAACCCCATACTACCACAGTAATGTTATGCAAAGTGCAGGAAATTTGCTGTATAAATTATTATTATTTGTCCAAACAGGGCTCCTGCACAAACTGTCTAATCCTTTTTCTCACCTGTTCACGGAAAGGGACATCCCCTTCCTTTCCACAAATTTGCCGGCTCGGCATTTTTTTCATGTAACTGTCTGGCTGCCCCGTGCACCTTTGGCTCACTGCTAGTTCATCATAAGGCATCAGGAGCATGTTTGTGTGGTGGGTGGGAAATTCTCTGGACCCACCTTTGGAAACAAGGTGGATTCCCGTTCCTTGTGGCTCAGTCTTTCCACAGCAGAATAGCTATTGTTCTGCTCTTGAATAGATCTATTTCTATCCTAAAGGGAGGCCAGGCCTGCCTCTCCGGGGCTGTGTCTGCACATAGCTTCTCTTTAGACTGGAGGCCATCCTGAGTCCTTCCACTCCATCCTTTGGACACCACTGTCCTTCTAGTCACTTGGTCATAAGAACATCAAAACAGCCCTGCTGGATCAGACAGTAGTCCCTCTAGTCCAGCATCATATCTCACACAGTGGCCAACCAGTTCCTCTGGAGAGCCAACAACAGGGCGTAGAGGCCGAGGCCTTCCTAAGAACATCAGAAGAGCCCTGCTGGATCAGACCAGTGGTCCATCTAGTCCAGCCTCCTGTCTCACATAGTGGCCAACCAGCTCCTCTGGAGAGCCAAGAACAGGGCATAGAGGCTGAGGCCTTCCCCTGATAAAAACATAAGAAGAGTCCTGCTGGATCAGACCAGTGGTCCTTCTAGTCCAGCATCCTGTCTCACACAGGGGCCAACCAGTTCCTCTGGAGGGTCAACAACAGGGCAGAGAGGCCGAGGCCTTCATAAGAACATCAGAAGAGCCCTGCTGGATCAGAGCAGTGGTCCATCTAGTCCAGCATCCTGTCTCACATAGTGGCCAACCAGCTCCTCTGGAGGACCAACAACAGGGCATAGAGGCTGAGGCCTTCCCCTGATAAGAACATAAGAAGAGCCCTGCTGGATCCGACCAGTGGTACTAGATCTAGTCCAGCATCCTGTCTCACACAGTGGCTGACTGGTTCCTCTGGAGGACCAACAATAGGGCATAGAGGCCAAAGCCTTCTCCTGGTATTGCCTCCTGGCTCTGGGATTCTAGGACAAATATTTTTTCTGAACAAATAATCCTAATGGAAAGACTTCTCCTCCACTTTCTGACACGCCCACGCACATTGCTAGAAGAAATTGTGCAAGATTGTAATATAATCGGACAGCAAGTCTTTGGAGTACTCTGGGCTTTCAGGGTAGCCTAGGACAGTGTTTCCCAGCCTGTGGGTCAGGACATAAAAGTGGGTCACAAACAGTGTTCCCTCTAAGCTGAGTTACTGTGAGCTAGTTCACAGTTTTTTAGCCTCTGGCTCACGCATTTTTGTCTTAGCTCAGGAAGGACGGCTCCAGAGCCAATTAATTTATACAATAGCTAAATCACTTGCTCACAACTTTAATGCCAGTAGCTTGCAAAGTAGAATTTTTGTTCACAAGACTCCACAGCTTAGAGGGAGGCATTGGTCATGAAGCCTCTGAAAGTGGACCGCAGGCCACCTCTGCCCTTTCTGCTGTTTTCGTTCATGCTTTGGAAGCCCAGATCTGACCCTGGAAACAGTACCTTCCATGTCATATATTAGTTGGTATTTTCCCCCTTCTCTGCAGGTACAGGTTGATCAAGTAGAACGTGTCCTGAGGATTACTAGAGTCAATTTAGAGGGAATGTTGTAGAAGGAAAAGGTGGTCAAACGCTGGAAAGTAACCTCCATATGCAAAGGCTGTGTGTGTGTGTGCGTGTTGAAAAGCCCCTTGCCCGAGGTTCACAGTGGGGACTGCTGTGTGATGTTTGTTGGTTTCTCAAAAAACATCTGGTGAGCCACTGTGGAAAATGGAATGCTGAGCCAGATGGCTGCCAAGGTCACAGTTTGCCTACACTGCAAAAATTATGGGTCACTGTCCCAAGAAAACTTGGACTTGTGGGTCACCCTACTGAAAAGGTCAGGAGCTGCTGGCCTAGGAAATGTCTAGCAACGTAGGGATGTCTCGGTACAGGCGAGCTGCACCCCCAGCTTTGCTGATGGGGAGATTTCTGTGCTTGCTGAGAGGCGCTCTGTTATCCGCTCCGTCGTCTCTTCCTCCCTTTCAATTATGCTTCGCAGGCTCAGTCTCACACTAATTATATTATACGTGATACCATCATTGATCGTTTGGACCTCACTCATGCTTGAAAGGATTGTCTCTTTCCCAATTTTTGCTGATGTATATTTGGATCTTGACTTGTTGATATTGTTCATATGTTTGACTTATTTGTATATTGACTGTTGACATCAATAAAAAATTTTAAATTAAAAAAAAAATAAAATTATGCTTTGCAGGGAATGGCAAGTCTGAGGATTCCCCGTGCAACGTGCTGAGCGTCAACGTCACCAAGCCGGGGTGCGATGGCTTCCCTGCGCTGGACTCCTCCGAGAATTGTAAGAGAAGGCCATTTGTCTCTCCTACCAGTGCTGTACGGTAACATGTTTCTGGAGCAATCGTGCGTGGTCACATGCGGTATCTCTGTCGATTGGGAGAAGGGATGTCACAAGCAAGTCATGAACTTGCATCAATCACCCAATGTGAAATTAGGGTCTCTTGTCTTTTCAGGGCATGCCCTGCGTTGTCAAGGAAACATGGGGGGGGGGGCTTTGTTGACTGTGGGCTAGTCTTTCTTTCAGGAAATCAGCCCTGATTTGTAGGTTCAAGAAACTTTGGGTGGGGAGTAGGATTCTGAGACAGTAGCCTAGACAGCACCAGATCAGGCTACAGGTGGAGGATTGCGGAAACCCACTCTTCGTTAAGCTCCCCACAAATAGATGGGGAATATTATTTACTATTTGTTTACTTCACTGATACCCCACCTCTCTCACCGATGGGGACCCAAAGTAGCTGATAGCACCCTCCTCTCCTCCACTTTATCATCACAGCAACTCTGTGAGGTAGGTTTGGTGGAGAGTGTATGGCTGGCTTAAGGTCGCCCCACAAGCTTCTGTGACTTGAGTGGGGATTCGAACCTGGTTCTCCGAGACCTTAGTCCAGTACTCCAGGCTGTATACCATACTGGCCGTCTCCGCATCTTCAATATGGATCTGGGCGGCGGGGGATGGATTCTTTGGTTTTAGCCTAAACGCAAACGATGATGGGTGAAGTCTGAACTCTCTGACTCTTTGGCACGATGCTCTTTCAGACCAGCTGACAATTTCAGACCAGCTGATGCTTCTGACTGCAGACACCGTCTGGGGTGCTCTTCGAGGTGAGGCTTCCCTGTGACCCCTGCCGTTTCCCCCTGACCCTGCTCTTGGACATGTTTAAGCAAGCTTGGAGGGGGGTGCATTACATGCTACATAATCTGTATTTGGCCCTTTTTCGTACAGGGTTGGAGACCTTCAGCCAGCTTGCCTGGAAGGACGACAATGGGATGGTGAGTTTATATGCAAAGCAGTGGTGTGCAAAAAAAACTCCAACCACATGGTATTTTTCAGGTTCGCGTATATTGAACCCGAAAAATACTGGTGTTTCCCAATATTCCCGAATCCCAATAATGGTATGGTATTTGAATTCGGGAAATATTCGGGATTGCCAAATTTTTTCGGCTGCATTATACCCTATGGGGACCATTATAACAGTCCCCATAGGCTATAATGGAGAATTGATCCAGGGGTAACTGGAGCTCAGGGAGGGCTGTTTTTTGAGGTAGAGGCACCAAATTTGCAAGTTTCAGAAAGATTGGACGCAATTCTATGAGCCCCAGAAGAAGGTGCCCCCATCCACCACTGTTTCCAATGGAAGGGGAAAAGGCATTAAAGGGAATGCAGTCCCTTTAAATGCCTTTTGCAAGCTTCACCACGAGTGAACTCCAAAATGACAAGTTCACCTGGAAGGTGTTTAAAGGGAAGGCAGTCCCTTTAAACACCAGTGGCAGCCCCAAAAAATCCCGAATATTTTTGGGATTTTTTGGGCTTGGCCATTTTAGATAGCTTTAGACAATACCGAGCTTTATGTTCCATTTTTAAAAATCCAGAAAATACCGTTAAGGGCATTTTTTTCAGCTTTGTATTGCCCAAATGCACACCCCTAATTCAGAGTGCGAATGGAGGGGATTTTTGCTGTATTCTCTTGTGACAGAGCTCCTCTCTCTCCTCTGCACAGTTCTCCATCAACAAAACCGATGTGGTCGACTTCCCCCGCTTCCCTCACCGGGGTCTGCTACTTGACACATCTCGTCACTACTTGCCTCTGAAAGCCATTCTGGAAACACTGGTAGGTGAACTTCAACTGTTTTCTCCAGGGGAACTGATTTCTGTAGTCTGGAAATGAGCTGTAATTCCAGGGGATCTCCAGGTCTTGCCTGCAGGCTGGCATCTCGAGAGGTTACCTCCTGGTACTGGAATTGAGAGGTTTACTGCCTCTGAATGCGGAGGTTCCCTTTAGTCACCATAGACATCCTTCAAGTGGCTCAGCAGTAGAGCATCTGCTTGGCATACAGAAGGTCCCACGTTCAATCACCAGCATCTCCAGTTAAAAGAGCTAGCAGTAGGTGACGTGAAAGACCTTTGCCTGAGACCCTGGAGAGCCGCTTATAGTCTGAGTGGACAAGACTGACCTGGATGGACCACAGGTCTGATTCAGTATAAGGCAGTTCCATGTGTTTGTGTGACCTATCCTCCATGAACCTGTCAAATCCCCTTTTAAAGCTTTCTGTGGCCATCACTATATCCTCTGGCAATGAATTCCACCCTTCAGTCACTCTGTGTAAAGAACAACACGGCTGCCCACCTGGATCTGTGTAAAGAAGTATTTCCTGTTGTCCGTCCTGAATCTACTGCCCATCAGCTTCATCTGATGCCCTGGAGTTCTAGTATTCTAAGAGAAAGAGAGAAAGTTCTCTTTGTCACCTCTCTCCACCCCGTGTATAATATTTATAAACCTCTTTCAAACCCTTAGTAGCCTCTTGGCTAAACTGGAAAGCCCTAGGCTCTTCTGCCTTTCTCCACAGGAAAGGCTCCAACCCTTTAATAATCCTCTGTACTCTTTCCAGCACTGTTTTGTCCTTTTTGGGGATACAGTGTCCAGAACTGCATGTCCTGTTCCAAAGGCTGGAATGTTCTGACTCCATTGGATTGCGTTTCTGCTCTGTGCAGTAGCATGGCACACTTTGGTTCATGTGACCTTTTCGTCTTGTCTGAGGAAAAAGAAATGTTGGCCCCGGTCACACGAGAGGTTTTGGGCCGGGAGAGGGACGGATCGGGGCCGCAGCAAACGGGCGCGATCCCACAGCAACATCTGGGAAGCGTGCCGTGCCCGTTCCCGATCCGCCCCTTCCGCCCAAACACTGCAGCAAAAAAGAACCACCTAACTAGGTGGTTCTTTCCGAAAGGCCGCATCAATGCCGGCCGTGGGATCACCGGTGCGTCCTTCCACCGGCGCATCCCTGGCCCCCGGCCGAATGCGCAGTTTGGCAGCCTCCCCCTCCCGATCGTCTCTTCCTCCCCGGCATCTGATCGTGCCGGGGAGCAACGGCGCCACGGCTCAGGGGATCGTTGGATCCCACCGCGGCGTCTCTTTTTTGGTGTGGCTTTTAAAAGCCGCACTTTTGCCGGTATTTTTCCTGCCGTGTGGCAGGGACCGTTGTGTATTTCCTCTTCTCTGTGCTATGTGTTTGTGTGACAGCCGGTGGGGTGCAGTGGTTAGAGCTGTGGTTCTTGGTGGGGGTGAACTTGGGGGGAGGGGCATTCTGAACTTTTGAGGAGAAATGGGCATTGGGGATTTAGGGCAGGTCTGCCCATCTGCCCCCCCCCCCCCCACTGGCAGTGACTTCTGACAGCCAGTGGAAGAGAGCCGTTTTGATCACACATGAAGTGACCTCAGTCTATCAAGGTCAGTGTTGCCTACTCAGACTGGCACAGCTCTCCGGGGTCTCAGGCAGAGGTCTTTCCCATCACCTACCGCCAGATCCTTTTAATTGGAGATGCCGAGAATTGAACCTGGGACCTAGTGCACACAAAGCAGAGGCTCTTCCACTGAGCCACAGCCCTTCTCGCCTCTCTTTGAGGACAGAATCTCAGATCTTAGCTTTTTCTTCCCCCACCCCGGCCCTTAAAACAGTAGCATGCGGTAAATAGGAAAGCAAACGAAGGCGTCGGCTGATGGCCATCAGGGACAAGGATCTCACGGAATCATGCCCGAGATAAGAACACAAGAGAAGCCATGTTGGATCAGGCCAGTGGCCCACCCAGTCCAATACTCTGGGTCACACAATGCCCAAAATCCAGCTGCCATTGGGAGGTCCACCAGCGGGGCCAGAACTCCAGAAGCCCTCCCACTGTTGCTTCCCCCCCCAAGCACCAAGGAGACAGAGCATCACTTGCCCCCGACAGTGTTCCCTCTATACCTTGTGGCTAATAGCTACTGATGGGCCTTTGCTCCAGATGTTTCTCCAGTCCCCTCTTGAAGCTGTCTATGCTCATAGACACCGCGACTTCCTGCTACAGTGAATTCCATGTGTTCATTACTCTTTGGCTGAGATCTCTGCCAATATCATAAAGACAGCAGTATAAAATCATTGACCTTGAGGCACCAGGTTATGCATTGCAGACCCTATTTTGAGGTTTATTATATGGGAAGGGTTCCTGCCAACCTAGCAGTTGGACAGCAAGAAATTGCAAGTAGATAAATAGGTACCACTTTGGTGGGAAGGTAACAGCGTTCCGTGCACCTTGGTGTTTAGTCATGCCGGCCACATGACCACGGAAACGTCTTCGGACAGCGCTGGATCTTTGGCTTTGAAACGGAGATGAGCACCGCAACCCTAGAGTCGGACTCGACTGGCTTTCGAGCAAGGGAACCTTTACCTTTACCTTTACCTTATATGGGAAGGGAGCATATGACGGGTAAAGGAAGTTTGCATGAGGGCCTTTATAAGCATTGTTTGGAGCATGGACTCCCTGCACTCAATAGTGGCCAACGTGGGTAGGATGTGTATTTTTTGAACTTGGGTGAACTCTGCATTGCTGCTACTTGGGAGGATGCGGGAGATTTCTGTGTATAATATAAAAGCAGCCTTGTTTGACTTGTATTTCGTTTTGCATTTTGTTGTGGCTTGTCTTTTGTCCTTTGATGTGGCCCACAAGATTTATTTCATAAGACAGGTTGCACGTATCTGTTCGGAGTTCCACTTTATAAAGTTTCCTTCTGTTATAATATTGTGCTTAACTTTAATATAATCATCAGACAAATAAGCTTGCACAAGTCTTTTATATATCATTGTTAGAGATTGCTTTTTCACAGTGTATTTTGTTTTCTTGGCATCAGCAGTGCGGTGTTCTCTTTTTGATTTGTTTCTGTCACTTGGCATCTGAAATCACTCCACTTTCCAATACGTAGGACAGACAGACTCACATTCCAGCTGTATTTGAAGAAGTGAGCGGTGATGCACCAAAGCTCCTACCCTGCCACAGATTTTGTTAGTTTTTAAGGTGTTCCTGGACTCTTGCCCTTTTTTAAGGTTGGGGGGGGTATGAGCTTTTGAGAATCAAAGCTCCCTTCATCAGTGACGACGCTTTGATTCTTGAAACTTTGATTCTCAGAAGTTCATACTCCTCCAAAACTTGTTGCTCTCAAAGGCGCCGGACTCAGATCTAATTGTTCTAGTCAGAGGTCATTTCAGGGGGGATCGCGGGGGATCGCAGTTCCCCCGGATGAGGTACGGGGACGGGGCACATGACGAAGCCCCGCCCCCTGCTTCCGGCCGCCCCGCTTCCGGCCCTCATTCAGCCAGGAGGGGGCAGGAGAAGAGGGAGGGTAAGTTCCTTCCTCCCTGCCTCTCCCCACCCCTGCCTGCCTGGGGCCAGGGAGGTCCTTCGCGGGGCTTCCTCGCACTCCCGCTGGCCTTGCAGGTCCACCGCCGGGCCCCTCATGGGGCTCGGCAGTGGAGCTGCAAGGCCGCCGGCGGCGGCCGGGACCGCTGGGGGCGGGGTGTGTGGCCTTATGACACACTTCCGGTGATGTCAGGGGGTGTGGCCTTATGACACACTTCCGGTAATGTCAGGGGGTGTGGCATATGCTAATGAGTTATGCTAATGAGTCCCCCTAGCTCTTTTTCTACGAAACGACCCCTGGTTCTAGTGCAGACGAACATGGCTGCCCTCTGAAACTATCGGCAAGTGGCTGTTACTGTTGGCAAGGCCTTTCCTTGTGACGCTGGTGCAGGGATGACTGTCCTGTTTCTCCTCCTCTCCGGATCCCCAGGATGCCATGGCTTACACCAAGCTCAATGTGTTTCACTGGCACATTGTGGACGATCCTTCCTTCCCATATCAGAGCGTCAAGTTCCCGGATCTCAGCCAGAAGGTGAGCCGCGCATCCCTCTGAACTGCAACGGGGATCGTTTTGTATATTGTGTTCTGTGGGCCTCCCTTGATGTGGTATAGCCCGAACATGAGCTGTTTACCTTGGTGGGGTTACTACTTTTTTTTTTTTTTTTGGTATTTTGTGCGTGTGTGTGTGTGTGTGTGTGCTTGCATGCCTGGAAGTCATGGTGACTTCTGAGAACACTTAGTGGGGCTAGGACATTTCAGAGAGAGGGGGCTTGATATTTGCCTGCCCCTGCATCCTGGCCCTGGGATTCCTTGGAGGTTGCCCTTCCAAGTACTTGCCAGGGTCGGCCCTTCTTAGCTACCGAACTCTGATGAGATTGGGCTTGCCTGGGCTATCCAAGGGCTTGGATTGCTACTATTATGTCATAGCAAGATCCAGTATGGTATACTGGATAGAGGGCTGGAATAGGACCCTGGGTTTGACCTCACTTCTACCATGGAAGCTCAATGGGTGGACTTGGGCCCACCACAAGCTCTCCATTTGGCCTACATCACAGGGGTGTTGTGAGAAAACAGGGGAGGGGAAAACGGTGTTCTTATTGGCGATCCAAAATGGCTTACATCACTATTATGTCATATTGAGGGCCAGTGTGGTATAGCAAATAGAGGGTTGGACTAGGACCCTGGGCAATCTGGGTTCGAATCCCTGCTTCTACCATGGAAGCTTGCTGGGCAGACTTGGGCCTATCACAAATTTCCAGCCTGGCCTAATCTCGCAGATTTGTTGATGTGAGAGAGTAGAGGAGTTAAGGTTGCCAGCTCCGGGTATGGAAATACCTGGAGATTTGGGGGTGGAGCCTAAGGAGGGTGGGGTTTGGGGAGGGGAGGGACTTCAGTGGGGTACGATGCCATAGAGTCCACCTTCTAGAGTGGCTGTTTTCGCCAGGTGAACTGATGTCTGTTGTCTGGAGACCAGTTGTAATCCCAGGAGATCTCCAGCCACCACCTGTAGGTTGGCAACCGCAGGAGGAGGGGAGAACGATATTGGTGTAGTTTGGTGTAGTGGTTAGGAGCGCAGACTCTAATCTGGGAGAACCCGGTTTGGTTCCCCACTCCTCCACATGCAGCTGCTGGTGTGACCTTGGGTCAGTTGCAAGTTATTTCAGAGCTGTTCTCTCAGGAGCAGCTCTTGAAAGAGCTCTCTCAGCCCCACCTACCTCACAGGGTGTCTGTTATGGGGAGGGGAAGGGAAAGGAGATTGTAAGCCATTCTGAGACTCCTTTGGGTAGTGAAGGAGGGGGGATAGATCCAATCTCTTCTCCTCCTCCTCCTCCACCACCCCTTTTGAGTCCCAACTGGGAAGAAAAATGGGAGATAAATAAATGCAAAACCATTGTGGAGTAGGAACTTGTGACTTTCTTCCTTCTTTCCACTCCAGGGGGCCTACAACCCTTTCACCCACGTGTACACTGCCAGTGATGTGAAGATGGTGATCGAATATGCCCGGCTGCGTGGGATCAGGGTGATTCCAGAGTTCGACACTCCTGGCCACACCCGCTCCTGGGGGCCAGGTAAGGCTTGGTCCTGAATCCCAGAGGAATGTGCTCGCTACTGTTTCTTGTACCAGATTCAGTCCTGCGTCCTGGACTCTGAATGTGTAGAGCCTGGCTGAAAACTGGTGGGTGGACCTCTTCCAGTATATGACTGTTTAGATAGCTTCTCATCCTTATGGCTAAGATCAAGTGGAGTATCAATGCAGGGCTTTTTTTATAGAAAAAGCCCAGCAGGAACTTATTAGCATAATAGGCCACACCCAACAGCAGAAATTCATTTGCTTATTAGGACACACCCCTGACAGCACCGCTCATAAGCATATTAGGCCACACACCCCATGTTCGCAGAAGTGTGGTCATCCAGCCACACCCACCTTTTGCTTCTTATTCTGTTTGCCTTGTTTGTTGTCAAAACGGAGGGCTTTTTTTATAGCAGGAACTCCTTTGCATGTTAGGCCACACACCCCTAATGTAGCCAGTCCTAATGAGTTTCTGCTGTTGGGTGTGGCCTATTATGCTAATGAGTTCCTGCTGGGCGTGGCCAACTCGGGAGCCAGCCGGAACTCCGTTCCTGTGCGTTCCTGCCCAAAAATAGCCCTGAATATATGACTGTTCAGCAGCTAGAGGTGTTGGGGTGGGTCTGGCTTGCATACATCGCCAAGACCATTCCGCTTGCCCGCTCCACTGTGGTAGATGGTTTTTGTTTCATGAGGAGGGTCTTCTTTATTGATGGGATCAGGAATGGATTTCCTCCCATGCGGGCTGCTTATTTCAAAGGATGCACGCAGACAAAGAGCTTCTCCCCTGCATGGGTGCATGAGCAGAGACTGTGCTTACAGCAGCTTCATGGCTGTTGGATTAGTCAGAGTTGTGGTGCAATTGGATACTTAGGGGAGGGGCTGTGACTTAGCAGTAGAGCATCTACTTGACATGCAGGTTCAATCCCCAGCATCTCCAGCTAAAAGGCCAGGATCATAGGTGATGTGAAAGACCCTTCCTGAGACCTTGGAGAGCCACTGTCAGTCCGAGTAGGCGATACTGAGTCTGATTTAGCATCAGGCTGCTTTATGTGTGTTCATATGTGCTGATCTGAGCCCATAGCTCAGTGGAAGAGCCTCTGTTTGGCATGCAGAAGGTCCCAGGTTCAATCCCCAGCATCTCCAGCTAAAAGGTCCAGGTAGCAGGTGATGTGAAAAACCTCAGCTTGAGACCCTGGAGAGCCGCTGCCAGTCAGAGTAGACAATAGTGACCTTGATAGACTAAGGGTATAAGGCAGCGTCTTACGTACTCAAGACACTGAGCAAGCGTCTGCACACTGTACTTTCCGGTGTTTTGGACAGCAGAAGTCTCGCTCCTTTGGCCGGCTTGGCTTGCAGTTCTGTTCACTGTTCTGTGCCTGGAACCTGCCGCTCTCATCTCTGTCTTGCCTTCATGTTTTCTTCAGGTGCCCCAAGGTTGTTGACTCCCTGCTATGCGGGCTCCAAGCCCTCTGGAGCCTACGGACCGGTCAATCCCGTCCTAAACACCACTTACCAGTTCATGTTGGAGTTCTTTGCCGAAGTCAGTGCCGTGTTCCCAGACTTCTACGTTCACCTGGGCGGAGACGAGGTTGACTTCACTTGCTGGTTGGTTTTGATCCCTTAGGACGGATAGGGAGGCAGGGGATGGAGAGGTGGAGGATAGATCGCGATGTGGGAAGATAAGGAATGGAGGTGGGGCTGTGGCTCAGTGGTGGAGCCACTGTGGCTCGGCATGCAGAAGGTCCCAGGTTCGATGCCTGGCATGTCCAGTTAAAAAAGATCAGGTAGGAAGCGACGGGAAAGACCTCTGTCTAAGACCCTGGAGAGCTGCTGCCTGTCAGAGCAGGCAATACTGACCTTGATAGACCAGCAGTCTGACTCAGTGGTTCACACATCGTTTATAAGTGAATCTTCACTGTGTTTTTGCCATTTATAGCACTGTATTCCCTTACATATTTTTTTCTGACTCAGTATAAAGCAGATTCATACATGCTCATTAAGGGGAGGGTCCCATGACTGAGTGGCAGCGCATCTGCTTCAAGTGCAGAAGGCCCCAGGTTCAATTCCCGGCATCTCCAGTTAAAAGGACCAGGCAGTCAGTGATAGGAAAGACCTCTGCCTGAGACCCTGGAGAGCTGCTTCCAGTCAGAGTGGACATTGCTGTGTCATAGAACAAGGGCCTGGCCCAGGAGAAAGCATTTTCACGCAAGGTGGGTTGAGTGACCAGCCACTTTGGGGTGGCCAAGATGCCTGCATATGGCTTGGTTGCCAAGTCTGTTTCTGGCCACCTTTGGAAGCCGGACTGTCTGTAATACAAACCAGCCTGGCCAGACGGAACTTGGGCCTCCTTAGCTCTTGCGGCTGCTGTATCAGAGGCTCCAGCCATCCACGGGTCCTGCTTCCTTGTCCTGAGAAAGTCACTGTGTAAGCAGCAGCAGACCTTTGAAAAGGAAGACTTCTAAGAAAACTGACGACCTTGCCTTTAAGTCAAGACTATCCAGCTCAGTATTGTCTGCTCTGGCTTACAGCAACATTCTGGGTTCTCAGGCAGAAAAGGGTCTTTCCCAGCACCTGCAGCCTAAGAGCCTTGGGTTGGAAATGCCAAGGACATCATCTGGGACCCCCTGCATACCCGATCTGTGCTCTGCTGACTAGGGGTGTGCAACCCCCCCCCCCCCCCGATTTGGATATATTGGATCCAAAAAATATTGGTATTCTTGAACGTTCCTGAATCCCAGTATCGGTATTGTATTGGAATTCAGGGAAATATTCGGGAAACCTTAATTTATTCAGCTCCATTATTCCCTATGGAGACTGTCCCCATAGGGTATAATGGAGTTCAGAAGGCATTTGAAACCTTCTAGCCATGCCCGAATAAAAGCTGAATAATAATAAAAGCCGAATAATATAATAGTATTCTCCATCACATTTTCATCCTGCCGTGCCGTCAGAGTGACACACGTTGCTCTCCTTTCCTTGTTTTTTCATCCTAACAACAACCCTTCAAGGTAGGTTAGGCTGTGAGAAGGAGAGTGGCCCATGGTGATGTACTGATAATATCGGCTTTTATTCGGGTGTGGCTGTTTTGGTAGCCGAATCAGATTCTCTAATCTGATTCTGCCGAATAAATACCTGAAAAATACCGATATGGTATTTTTCGGGTTGGCTTGGTATATACTGAGTGCACACCCCTACTACTGACTGAGCCAAGAGCCCTCCTCAAATGTCTCTCTATCACATTTTCAACCTGCCTTGCCTCCAGAGTGACATGCGTGGCTCTCCTTTCCTTGTTTTTTCATCCTCACAACAACCCTGCGAGGTAGGTTAAGCTGAAAGAGGGCGAACGGCCTATGGTGATGTACTGAGCTTTCAAGCAGTGTGGGGATTTGAATCTGGCTCTCCCAGATGCCAGTCCAACACTCGTAACCACTACATCACCCGGGCTCTCTTGCAGGATTGTAGTCAGGTTTTTAATTTAATTATTTATTTCCTTTATTTATATCCTGCCTTTCTCCCCCCATCGGGGACCCAAAGCACCTTCACGTCGTTCTCCTCTCCTCTGTTTTATCCTCACAGTGACCCTGCAAGGTAGGTTCGACTGAGAGTGTGTGACTGGCCCAAGTCTCACCCCACAAACTTTCGTAGCTGATTGGGGATTTGAACCTGGTTCTCCCAGATCCTAGTCCATCACTCTAACCACTACACACCACTACACACCCTCCCCGTGAACCTTGCTCATTTATGCTCTTCACAGGTTTTGTTCCAAGGAGGGATTAGGGGTGGTTGGCAAAAGAACATATAGAGCTGGTTCGGTATAGTGGTTAAGAGCAGTGGACTCTAATCTGGGAGAACCGGGTCTGATTCCCCACTCCTCCACATGCAGCTGCTGGGGTGACCTTGGGTCAGTTGCAAGTTCTTTCAGAGCTGTTCTCTCAGGTGCAGTTCTCGAAAGAGCTCTCTCAGCCCCACCTACCTCACGGGGTGTCTGTTGTGGGGAGGGGAAGGGAAAGTAAGCCGCTCTGAGACTCCTTTGGGTAGTGAAGGGTGGGGTGTAAGTCGAATCTCTTCTTCTGTTCTTCTAGAAAAGATTATTACGATGCAGGTGGGGGACAGCAGGTCTACAAACGTAAACTGGGGTAGAAGCCAAGGGATTGGGATATGTCGCGAGTCTAAAAGACATTCCTGTCCCATTATCCAACTCAGCGGAAAACCTTATTCAGTACCTCTGTTTCTCACTAGCTAGTCGACTCATTGCCCACATTGCAGTCATCTTGAGGACTAGAATCACACTCCTTTTAAAAAGAATCGACAGGAGGAATTCTGCTTTGGGCCTTCTGCAGCGGCGGCATCCATTCACGGGAGGCAACGTTTTCTCCTCCGCCAGCCTTGGATAGAGGCCACCCGTTCTGAAAAGATCTGGTCATTGCATGGGTCTGATCCAAGTTCTCTCCTTTGCATGCAGGAAATCCAATCCAGACATCCAGACATTCATGAAGAAGATGGGGTTTGGCCAAGACTACTCTAAGCTGGAATCCTTTTACATCCAAAAGTAAGGGCTCAGGCGGGCCAGTACAGCAGACTGGGAGCAGAGCTTTCAGACGTGGGAACAGCATCCCATTCCTCCAGACCACATTCCCCTTCACCGGACCCCCAGAGAGTTTGCACAGAGGCTTGTCTGTTTTAGCCCACCCTCTCTTTTTAGGTTTTTTGGGGCCGTTTCCAAAGAAATGTGGTCTTTGTTTATCTAGGGCAGGCGTCCCCAACGTGGTGCCCGTGGGCGCCGTGACCCCCGCCCACACCTTTCTGGGTGGCCCTCAAGTGTTTTTAGAAAGTGGTTGGGGCCAGGCAGGGCTCCTGCCCAGCAAGGCTTCTAATTGGCCATTGGAGGTCTGATTGGATTAAAATAACGTTCCGGTGGCAGCTGCCACTACGGCATTAGTTTTAGTCTCTCTCACACACAAATTACTCGTCGGGCGTGTGTGTGTGTGTCTCCGCCTCCGATGGTGGCCATCTTGTGGCTGGCCCCACCTCCTGCAGCAGCCATTTTGTGGAAGCCATTTCAGGGACATGCCGGCAGCCGGTTGTCAGAATTCCAAAGGTGCCCACAGGCTGAAAAAAAGGAAGGTTCTTGTTTCCCATCTTTTGACTGGCCTCTTCAGAAAATAGACCCAAGGGAGACTTGGGACTCCTAACCTTGCAGCTATAATGGGGCTGGAGCCCCGTACACTTGCTGTTTGGAGCTCCATATCAGTAAATGTTCCTTGCTAGCTTCAGAGCCCTGAGTGCAGGTACCGCTGAGGCGTGCCTGGAGCAGGATGACGGACAGTGTGGGAAATGCCTCTTTTTTTTTCAGTAGCTCTTCTCTTTACTTCAGGCTTTTGGATATTGTCTCGTCTTATGGGAAAGGCTACGTGGTGTGGCAGGAGGTGTTTGATAACGCAGTGAAGGTGAGGACCTCTCTAGGGCGATTCAAGGCGCTGCGCTCTCTCTCCCCTGCCTTGCCAAAACTTGGCCTTGCTTCTTTGCATTTCGAGATGTAAATTCTTTCTCTTCTTTTCCTGCGCCCCACCATCCCCAGTCTTTGAAGTCAGGACGACTAGGCCCAGCTTCTGAGAAAAATCCAAGGGATCCTTTCCACATAGGCAGGGCAGCATGTTTTCCCCACAGCCCCAGATTTGTGAAGATTTGCCCCTCTCCCAAGCTGGATTTGCACCCTTGAGAACCTGGGTGGGGGTGGAAAGTGCCGTGAAGTCTCAGCTCACTTATGGTGACCCTGTATGGTTTTTGAGGCAAGAGGTGTTCAGGGGTGATTTGCCATTGCCTGCCTCTGCGTCACGACCCTGGTATTCCTTGGAGGTCTCCCATCCAAATGCTGGCCAGGGCAGACCCTGCTTAGCTTTTGTGATCTGACAAGATTGGGGTAGCCTGGGCTATCCAGGTCGGAGCATGCTGTTCAATCAGAATCCTTTTCTTTTTGCAGTTTCGCTTCGTGGTTGTGAAATACAGTCCTTATCCTCCGGCTCTGCTGTATTTTGTAATTGTTCTGTGTGCTAAGGCTTTGCTTTTTTAAAAAAAATGATCTGTTGTACTAAGGTGTGCTTTTTAACAATCCTGTTGTATTTTATTACTGATTTTAGAGTATGTCATCTTAGGCAGAGATCCCCAGAAAGGCCGATACTAGATGCACTTTAAAATGAGTTACAAAGAAGCTCAAGTTTCTAGCTCTCATGACTGCAGGAGACAGGATGCAAGCAGTATCCAGTGAAGGCTTGGGATTTAGAAAGGGATTGCGGGGCACTGATTCTGAAGGGTCCTTGCAGGGCTTACCAGGTGTACACAGTTTACAAATGAGACTCCTGTCACAGTTGCGGTTGGGAGCCAGAGGCTCACATGAACACATGAAGCTGCCTTCTACTGAATCAGACCCTCGGTCCATCAAAGTCAGTATTGTCTACTCAGACTGGCAGCCGCTCTCAGGCTGAGCTCTTTCACATTACCTCCTACCTACCTGATCCTTTTTAACTGGAGATGCCGGGGATTGAACCTGGGACCTTCTGCATGCCAAGCAGATGCTCTGACAGTGAACCACAGCTCCTCCCCATAAACCCTGGGAACTAGGGATCATGCATGATACAGCACATAAATAAAGAGACTTCCATATTATCTAGATGTTCTTTGAGTGCTCAGCTGCAAACTTAGTGACACTTTCCATGCAAAGAAGAGGGTCTTGCTAAAACCTTCTTTAGTTTTCACTGTCTAAACCACTATTTCTGGACTTTGGGCCTAGAAACTGCAGTCCAAAAAGGGAAGATCCACATAATACCTTTATTAAGACCGCTCCAATGATGGATAACAGTGCGCAAGCTTTCCAGTTCCCCAGAACTCTTCATCAGGCCAAATGTTTGAATTTTTTTAAACCAAAAAAAAAAAAAGGAGAGGAGAAAGTAGAGCTTAACTTCATGATCTGAAATATCTGCTTAAAAAGACTACCTCATGTCAGCATGTGGTGGATTTGCTTTCAGGTAATGAAGGATCGGGTTTCAGGCTGGAAAGGTGCAAATCGACATGCTAGATAATGGAGTTTCAACCCACTTCAGCGACTGTTTGCAAGTGGATTTCACATAGTAAAATCCAGCTTGGTGTAGTGGTTAGGAGCGTGGAATCTTCTGGGAGAATCGGGTTTGATTCTGCACTCCTCCACATGCAGCTACTGGGTGACCTTGGGTCAGTCACAAGTTCTCTCAGAGCTGTTCTCTCGCAAGCAGTCCTCAAAAGAGCTCTCTCAGACCCACCTACCTCACAGGGTGTCTCTTGTGGGGAGAGGAAGGAGATTACAAGCCACTCTGAGACTCTGAGTGAAGGGTGGGGTATAAATCCAACTCTTCATCATCTTCTCCTCAGCCTAGCCTACTTCACAGGGTCGTTGTGAGGATATAATGGAGGACAGAACAATGTCAGCCACTTTAGGTCCTGCATTGGAGAGAAAGGTGGGGTATAATCAAAGTACATAAATAAAGCCTCAGGGCTGTATGCAGCTACTGAATGTGAGAGGACATCATGAAAAAGGAGTCTGATGTCTGCCCCGGGAATCTGCATCTTTGTTCGTTCTCAAGATCCCTCCCAGGTTGTTGCTTTTTTTTTTTGGTGTGCAACCTGTGCACATGCTGTGTGAACACTCTCCTACCCATTGGGCTGTTCCAAGAGCATTCAGTTTTCAGAACACTGAAGACCCGACCACCCACCCACCCCACCCCCCGTGGCTTGCAGGTGACTTTCTGTGCCTGTCTTGTCAGTGCATAACATGTGGCCGAATCACATAGCACTGAATTCCTAGCCCTGTGCCCTTTTCAGACTGCAGGGGGCAGTCTCGGGTTCAGTGCACTTCTGCAGGTAGAAATTGAATACCCAAAGGTCAGGTCCGTTCCCCTCCCATGGAAACATTCTCATGGCAGGGAGGTTTGGTTATAGGGGAACAGTTGGCAGCATCTTTTGCCGTACTGTTTCAGAGGCCTTCTCCCTTTTCCAGGACTAACTACTTCCCTGGCCTTCTTTCAGACATCTTAAGAACATAAGAGAAGCCATGTTGGATCAGGCCAATGGCCCATCCAGTCCAACACTATAGGTCACACAGTGGCCAAAAATACCAGGTGCCATCAAGGTCCACCAGTGGGGCCAGAACTCCAGAAGCCCTCCCACTGTGGCCCCCCAAGCACCAAGAATACAGAGCATCTGTACCCCAAGCACCAAGCACTGTGGCCCCCCAAGCACCAAGAATACAGAGCATCACTGCCCCAGACATAAGAACATAAGAGAGGCCATATTGGATCAGGTCAATGGCCCATGCAGTCCAACCCTCTGTTTCTCACAGTGGCCAAAAACCAGGTGAGCATCACTGCCCCAGACAGAGTGTTCCATCTGTAACTTGTGGCTAATAGCCACTGATGGACCTCTGCTCTGTATGTTTATCTAGTCCCCTCTTGAAGCTGTCTGTGATTATAGCTGCCACCACTTCCTGCAGCAGTGAATTCCACATGTTCCTTATTCCCTCCCCTCCACCCCATCTGTTTTGCAGAGCCTTTCTGCGGCCTCCTCATCTTGACCTTTCTCCCTGGGTGCTTCTCTCTCTCTCCGATCAGTCTGTCCCTTTCACCCGTCACCTCCCTGCCGATTCGCCGTAAGGCTTCCGAGAAGGATCGGCACCACTTTTACAGGAGAGCAACATAAAACTTTAGACATGCATGACCAGCCCTCCTGGAGCTAGGCGTCTCTTTCCAGCCTGTGTATGCAGCCGCCACCAGGTGCCGACAAGCACCCCATAGGGAGGGAGTCGTTATGAAACTGCAGCAGGCCCGTAGCTACAGTGGGGCCATTTGGGGCTCCGCCCCCTTACTTAAAGGTACGGCCCCACAGGCATTTGTCCGCAAAATGCTTTTAAAGTCTTTTTTTTAACAATTTTAATGCCTCCCAGGAAAGTAATCCTAGCTATGGGCCTGAACAGCAGCTATGGGCATCTGTAATCCTGGAGGCGTTTGTATCTTGAAAGCCTCTGCTCTCTGGTAAGAAGCATGGCTGGCTCCCATCTCTGACACCTTCTTCCATTTTCACCCAGGTGAAGCCCGACACCATCATACACGTATGGAAGCAGGACAACGGGCACTATCCGAACGAGACAGCACGTGTCACCAAAGCCGGCTACCGGGCCCTGTTATCTGCCCCTTGGTATCTTAACTATATCTCCTACGGGCAGGACTGGCTAGGGATTTACCTGGTGGAGCCCCTGGCATTCAAAGGTGCGTGCTCTCTTGTGCCCACTTGCCCTGTCCCTCCCGGAATTTTGGGTGCGGAAAGGGTGGGAGAATCAGAAGTGCACTGTGAGGTCACAGGCGCAGTCCACTCGGAGCCAGTCTCTAAAGCTGGAAAGAAGAATCAGTGTCTAGGTCCCAGGCCGAACTGGCTCCGTCATGCCGTCTTCAGCGCAGACTCTTAACTGCTAAGCTATTCCTGCTCTCCTGCCAGCCTGTGGTCTGAATTGATTCTTCCCCCACCCCCCACCCCAATAGGCAGTTCGGCGCAGAAAGATCTGGTGATCGGCGGCGAGGCTTGTATGTGGGGTGAATACGTGGATGTCACAAACTTGAGCCCAAGACTCTGGTAAGTAGCAAGGACCTTGGGGAGGCCAGCCTGGGCTCAAAATGAGAAAGTGTGGGGTAGTGATTCCGGTGGGTAGCCATGTTGGTCTGAAGCAGCAGAACAAAGTTTGAGTCTAGTGGCACCTTTAAGACCAACAAAGTTTAATTCTGCATATAAGCTTTTGTGTCCGTGCACACTTCTTCAGATACAGTGAAACAGAATTTTCTCAACCATCACATATGGAAAGAGAGAGGGTGGGAGGGGTTAGTTGCCAAGAAGGGCCCATTAGAGGGAGGGAGGGAGGAACTTAACCCAATAAAATTGAATCAAGTATTGAAAAGGTAACAAAAGAACCCGGTGGAGGGCCAATAGTTAAAACCTCATATAAACTTATCATAAGTAAAAATACATGTATTTATTTTGAGGAAAAGTTAAATAAGGGCCCAATGAAAGCCTCGTTAATAAATACAAATGACATGCGCACAAGGAACAATTATTGTGACCCAATGCGTTTCGGCCCAATCAGGCCTCCTTCAGAGGTCAAACAATACGAGGTACATAAAGGCACGTTACAAAGAGAAATAACAAAGAATGTGTCAATACTGGACCCAAAAAGGAATGCTGTTGAAAAAAAGAGAAAATGGGTTTTAGTCTTCATAAAATATAATATGATGAATTTTGCTTATAATATGTTTGCAAACCCCCCTGTATTACTTCCAAAATGAAATTAATAGACACAGGGCAGGAATGTTTATGAGGCCTCTTAAGATTAAATCCTCTGTCCAGTGCTGCGGTGGCTCAAGTGGTTGAGACGCTGAACTGCAGGCTGTGGAAGGTCGGTAGTTCAGCAGTTCGAGACCCGGGTGCCTCGTGACGGAGTGAGCTCCCATCTCTAGTTCCAGCTCCTGCCAACCTAGCAGTTCGAAAGCAAGAAATGGCAAGTAGATAAATAGGGACCACTTTGGTGGGAAGGTAACAGCGTTCCGTGCGCCTTGGTGTTTAGTCATGCCGGCCACATGACCACGGAAACGTCTTCGGACAGCGCTGGCTCTTCGGCTTTGAAATGGAGATGAGCACCGCAACCCTAGAGTCGGATTCGACTGGCTTTCGAGCAAGGGAACCTTTACCTTTACCAGTGCATATGCACAGGTGGTCAGTGGTGTTACTTTTGTGTATCTAAAAATATAAGAACATCAGAAGAGCCCTGCTGGATCAGACCTGTGGTACATCTGGTCCAGCATCATACCTCACACAGTGGCCAACCAGTTCCTCTGGAGGTCTAATAACAGGGCACATAGGGGCCAAGGCCTTCATCAGAACATAAGAAGAGCCCCGTTGGATCAGACCAGTGGTCCATCTAGTCCAGCATCCTGCCTCACACAGTGACATGTGGATTCCTGGCAACTGTTCTCTCATTTCCCTTTCTGTAAAGCATCTCTAAGAAATCATTCAGTCCCATAATAATCTTTGCCTGCTGTTCCCTTCATGCACTGTTTATTCTAGCATGCCTCTGACTCCACCAATATACCTTAACTTTAAGATTTCATTTTCTTTTTGACTGATCCATTTATGCAGGGGTCATTTCGTAGAAAAAGAGGTGCAGGAGCTCATTAGCATAACTTATTAGCATATCTTGTTTGCATATGCCACACTCCCTGACATCACCGGAAGTGTGTCAGAAGGCAACACCCACCACTCAGGCTACACTGGACTGCTAGCTTGGGGGGGGGACACACGCAGATCTGCCCTCACAGAGGAGGGACAGCTTGTGCCTGAAGGTGGGCCAGGGGGGGCTCTACAACTTACCTGGCTGCTTCTTGCTCCTCGTGACCCAACTGAGGGCTGCTGGGAGCAGGGGGCAGGGCTTGTTGCATGTGCCTGCCCCCTGGGCTCCTTACTGCCGGAGCTCCGCTCCTGTGCACTCCCGCAGGAAATTACCCCTGCATTTATGTAGTTCTGTACTTAGCCACAATACTTCTTTACACAGAGAGTGATTAAAATGTGGAATTCGCTGCCAGAGGATGTAGTGATGGCCACAGGCATAGACAGCTTTAACAGGGATTAGACAGATTCATGGATGATAAGTCTTATCAGTGGCTACTAGCTATGGTGACTGAGGGGAACTTCCACTTTCAGAGGCACTAATCCTCTGAATCCCAGAGCCAGGAGGCAACATTAGTGGAAGGTCTTGGCCTCTGTGCCCTGTTGTTGGCCCTCCAGAGGAACTGGCTGGCCACTGTGCGAGACTGGATGCTGGACTAGGTGGAACAGTGGTCTGATCCAGCAGGGCTTTTCTCATGTTCTGATGAAGGCCTCGGGCTCTCTGCCCTGTTGCTGCTCCTCCAGAGGAACTGGTTGGTCCCTGTGTGAGACCGGATGCTGGACTGGATGGACCACTGGTCTGATCCATCAGGGCTCTTCTTATGTTCTTATGAAGGCCTCAGCCTCTATGCCCTGCTGTTGGCCCTCCAGATGAACTGGTTGGCCATTGTTAGAGACAGGGTGCTGGAATAGAGGGACCACTGGTCTGATCCAGCAGGGCTCTCCTGATATTCTTATGAGGGCCTCAGCCTCTCTGCCCTGTTGTTGCTCCTCCAGAGGAACTGGTTGGTCCCTGTGTGAGACCGGATGCTGGACTAGATGGAACAGTTGCCTAATCCATCAAGCCTCTTCTGATGTTCTTAGTTGAAGATCACTGCTTTATAAGATGGCCCCAAATGGTATCTGTATGGCAACCATTCTCCCTTCCACCCCATAACAAAATAGCATTAGTTGTGAGTGATGCCTTAAGCCCAACTCCAAGGAGCCTCCTTGAATTTCCTGCCAGCACATCATGCCTCTCTGTGTCCCGTCCCAGCAAGAAAGCCTCACCTCATAGTCAGAACTCAAGCATGGCTATGCCTTATTCAGGGCACTGATGCTTTGTATTCTTGGTGCTTGGGGGGATCAACAGTGGGAAGGTTTCTGGAGTTGTGGCCCCGCTGGTGGACCTCCCGATGGCACCTGGGTTTTAGGCACTGTGTGACACAGAGTGTTGGACTGGATGGGCCATTGGCCGGATCCCACATGGCCTCTCTTATGTTCTTCTTTCTTCAAGGCCTAGAGCTGGCGCTGTAGCAGAGCGGTTATGGAGCAACAAGACCGTCCGAAACACGCGCGATGCTTATAGGAGGCTGGCGGACTTTCGATGTACGCTGCTGAGGTAGGGGCACATTCAGCGAGATCTTCTCTGTGGCTCTTTTTACCTAGGATTTCTGAATCAGGCACACACTACCGTGAGGGCGGCATCTAATGGGAGAGCATGTCAAAGAGGGCAGGATGTTGCTGTCGACTGCAGTTGGGTGCAAGAAACGACACTTGTGCGAATGTCTGCCGGGGGTCCCCAGCCTTTTTGAACCTGCAGGCACCTTTGGAATTCTGGCCCCGTGTGGTGGGTGCAGCCACAGAATGGCTGCCACGGGAGGCAGAGCCAGCCACAAAAGGGCTGCCGCAGCTTCCCTTCAGTCATACAGTGAAGATCCTTATGCTGCGGTATCAGCTGCTGCCAAAGCTTTTTAGAAATCTGCACAGCCAATCAAATCTCCAGTGGCTAATCGGGAGCTCAGCTGGGCAAAAGCCTCACCTGGCCCCGCCCACTTTCTAAAAACACTTGGTGGGTGCCAGGAAAAGTGTATGTGGGCACCATGGTGCCTGCGAGCACCACGTTGGGGACCCCTGGCCTGTGCTAACAATAGAGGCATTTTCACCTGTCCTGAGCCATGCACCCAAACCTCTGGCTAGGCCCAGGTAAGACTCTGACCAGTGGTAAAAGAACCTTCAACTCTGATGTCTGAACTGACACACAGTCAGGTGAGGGGTGAAGATTACAGGCCATGGCTTGGGATGGTCCTTTTGTGGTTAGCCGTAGTTTGGCACAAACCTTGGTTTGTGTTTGCTGAAAGGGGTGTCCACTACACCAAGGAATAGCCACTGTTGCTATATGAGAGAGTAGGGGGAGGTTATGCACTCCCCTGCCCTAGAATAGCCTCATTTCAGAACTCAAGAAGCTGCCTTATATGGAATCAGACCCTTGGTCTATCAGGGTCAGTGTTGTCTACTCAGACTGGCAGCGGCTCTCCAGGGTCTTGGGTAGCGGCCTTTTACATCATGTACTTTCACTGGAGATGCCAGGGATTGAGGGAGGGGCCGTGGCTCAGTGGTAGAGTATCTGTTTGGTATGCAGATGGTCCCAGGTTCAATCCTCGGGATCTCCAGTTAAAAGGTCTGGAAGGCAGGTGATGTGAAAGACCTCTACCTGAGACCCTGGAGAGCTGCAGCCAGTCTTGAGTAGACAGTACTGACCTTGATGGACCAAGGGTCTCATTCCAGATAAGTCAGCTTCATGTGTGAACCTTCTACATGCCAAGCAGATACTCTACCACTGAGCCAGGGTCCCATATCAAAGTCTTCCCCATCACCTATTACCTGGTCTTTTTTAACTGGAGATGCTGAGGATTGAACCTGGGACCTTCTGCATGCCAAGCAGATACTCTATAACTGAGGCAGAGTTCCAGATCAAGGTCTTTTCCATCACCTACTGCATGGTCTTTGTAACTGGAGATGCTGGGAATTGAACCTGGGACCTTCTGCATGTCAAGCAGATGCTCTACCACTGAGCCAGGGTCCCATATCAAGGTCTTTTCCATCACCTACTGCATGGTCTTTTTAACTGGAGGTGCTGAGGATTGAACCTGGGACCTTCTGCATGCCAAGCAGATGCTCTACCACTGAGGCAGAGTTCCAGATCAAGGTCTTTTCCATCACCTACTGCATGGTCTTTTTAACTGGAGATGCCGGGAATTGAACCTGGGACCTTCTGCATGCCAAGCAGATGCTCTACCACTGAGCCAGGGTCCCAGGTCAAGGTCTCTCCCATCACCTACTGCCTGATATTTTTAACTTGAGATGCTGGGGATTGAACCTGGGACCTTCTGCATGCCAAGCAGATGTTCTTCCACTCAGCCACAGCCCATCACACCTGTGTTCTTTCTCTTCTTGCAGGCGAGGGATCCGGGCAGAGCCCCTCTTCACAGGATATTGTGAACATGAATATGGCAGCGTTTGATGGCTGCCGTCTGCTCAGGGGCCACTGCGAACTGACTGTCTCTCTGGGAAAGCAGGACTGACTTCCTTTTCAATCAACGTGATGCAGCAAAGGGAAATCCATCCATCGTGGCTCATGGATAACTGAATTTCCCCCCCAACAAGCACCACGCTCCCCTGTTTTCTAAATAAATAACGTGGCCCAGTGGACTCTGATGAAGACAGTGCCTTCCTGTTTATCACAGTTCTATGTCCCGGCAGCTGTATTAAAGGGATCAAGGTAATGACTAGGGCTGCCAATCTCTGGGTGAGGTCTGGAGATCTAGAATTACGGCCGATCTCCAGACTAAATAAATCCATTCGCCTGGAGAAAATGGCTGCTCTGGAAGGCGGATTCTGTGGTATTATACCCTACTGAGGCCCCGTCCCTCCCCGGGCTCCATCTCCAAACTCTCCAGCTGTTTCCCAGCCCAGAGTTGGCAACCCTGTCAGATAATACCTTTGGTGGAGGGCTGCTAATTTACTAATGCCTTCTGTGGTGTAGAAATTTTGCTCGCCACGGCCCAACTTGCCTCCCCAAAGCCTCCCACTACCTCCTTTCTTCTTGTCTTGGGTGCCTGGTGATAATGTCACTTCTGGGGCCACTGGAGCTACTTTTGGTTTCTAGAGTACCCCTTTTATACAGGTGCCTTTCTTCTTGTTTTGGGTGCCTGGTGATGATGTCACTTCCTGGGCCACTGGATCCAGTTCTGGTTTCTAGAGTATCTGATTTCTATAGGTGCCTTTCTTCTTGTCTTGGGCACCTGGTGATGACGTCACTGTCTGGGGCTGCAGGATCCACTCTTGGTTTTTGGAGCACCTCCTTTATATAGGTGCCTTTCATCTTGTCTTGGGCACTTGGTGATGATGTCACTTCCGGGACCGGTGGATCCACTTCTGGTTTCTAGAGGCATCTGCAAATGGCTTCTTGCATGCAGTTGCCTCGACTACGGTGACCAACATCCATTCTCATTCTGATGGGTATTACAAATCTGTTTGGATTTTTATTGTACTCTGCCTCTGAGTCTCTGAACCAGTTAGAAAATAAATGCATATAATGAAAACCAGACCAGAAGTAAGTGCTGTGAACCCCCTTGTAGAATGTTTCACAGGGGGTGTACCAGAATGTGAACTTAGACTAGGACCAGTGTGGTGTATCAAACAAGGAATCGGGAGATTCGAGTTCAAGTAACCACAGCCATGTATCTTGGGGCAGTTATGGTCTCGTCCCTTGGGGGGGGGGGGGTCAGCACCCCGTAACCCTGTTTTGATGCCCCCCCTGCAGCTTCAGATCTAGAGGAGAAGGGAGCTTGAAGATGTCCTGTTTATTTAATAATGGCCCCAGTCACACGGAGAATTAGATACGCGGAGGGGACGGATTAAGGGCAGATCAAACCGGCGCGATCAGACGGCAACATTTGGCAAGCGTCACGCACCCGCCCCTGACCCACCGCATCTGGCCAAAAATGCGGATTGAAAAGGTACTCGGGAAAATGGAGTACCTACCGGAAGATCCGCAGCAACGGCGGGCGTGGGATTGCGGACCTGCAGCTGTCCGCGACCCGCGCATGCGCACTAACGCAGGACCGCCGTGTTGCCTCGCTGGGACTACGCCATTGCCTCCCCAGTGTGATCGGTGCCGACGGAGGGAGAACGGAGCCGCGGGGGAGCGTAAGATTGCGCTCCCGTGCTTCTTTTAGCTCCGCCTCTAAAATGCCTCCCTTCAGGTGCGAATTTTCCCACTCGTGTGACCGGCGCCAAAATGTATTATTTCTTCACAACATTTCTATGCTGCCTTTCCACCAAGGTTAGGATTCCCAAGGCAGTGAACAATCAAAAACCTTAAAACAAGCTTTTGGAAACACATGAAACACAATTAAAAACAGCAGTTAAGCAAATCACATTTATAGTTAAAACACATACACGGGAGTTGCCAGCTTTAGATTTGGAAATACCAGGAGGTTTTGTGGGTGGAGCCTGAGGAGGTAGAAGAAGAGATTGGATTTATACCCTGCCCTTCACTATCCAAAGGAGTCTCGGAGTGGCTTGCCATCTCCTTTCCCTTCCCCTCCCCACAACAGAGACCCTGTGAGGTAGGTGGGGCTGAGAGAGCTCTGAGAGAACTGTGACTGACCCAAGGTCACCCAGCTGGATGCATGTGGAGGAGTGGGGTTTGGGGAGGGACTTAAGTGGGGTATAATGCCATAGAGTCCACCTTCCAGAGCGGCCATTTTCTCCATGTGAACTGAATCTCTTGTCACCTGGGGAGCCGTCGTAACCCCAGGAGGTCTCCAGCCACCACCTGGAGGTTGTCAACCTTATTGTCAACCCTAATCATATCCCACTTAGGTCCTTTCCCTCCTCAACCCCCACCCCCCAGGCTCCAGCACCAAAATCTCCTGGTATTCCCCAGTCCAGAGCTGTCAACCCTTCGTTGTGGCGGTACAGGCTAAACAAAGCATTGTCGTGGACGTGGAACAGCCTTGTTGCGTATGAGATTTTGCAGCGGCAACCGCCAACGTGTGTGATTTATGCCCCTGTGGGATAAGCAATACCCAGGTAAAGCAATCACGTCGTTAAGAGGAATAAGGGAGCCCATACATAACAGAGTGAATGAAGCACTTGACTGCGCCACTAATCAAAGGCCGGATGGGGTGCTCCCTCGGCGCTGGCCTATATTTCCTGAGTTGTTGAGGCACCCCGGAGGAACACGGACAGCTTTATTCCAGCCGTGGAGACGCTAAAGATCGGCGGGCTGCTAACTCCGGCGCTAAAAAGGTGGTGCGAACAGCGAGATTTCTCCGAGACAAATGGAAGGCGGCCAGGGCTTTTTTTGCAGAAAAAGTCCAGCAGGAACTCATTAGCATAATAGGCCACACCCAGCAGCAGAAACTCAGCATGTTAGGCCACACCCCTCACAGCAGAAATTTATTAGCATATTAGGCCGCATTCCCATGTTACCAGAAGTGTGGTCATCCAGCCACACCCACCTTTTGCTTCTTATTCTGTTCACCTTGTTTGTTGTCAAAACCCAGGACCTTTTTTTGTAGCAGGAACTCCTTTGCATGTTAGGCCACACACCCCTAATGTAGCCAGTCCTAATGAGTTCCTGCTGTTGGGTGTGGCCTATTATGCTAATGAGTTCCTGCTGGGTGTGGCCAACTTGAGAGCCAGCCGGAACTCTGTTCCTGTGAGTTCCTGCCCCAAAATAGCCCTGAAGGCGGCGATGGCAGCCAACGGGGCTGTCCTGGGCCTATATATAGCCTCGCTGAGAGAGGCTTTCTCCATGAATCAGAGAGAGAGATTTGTGAAAGGAAAGAGAGCCGTGACTCTCTGAAAGGCCGGTTTTCGGCAAGTAGGTTGGAGGCCATGTGACTCAAGCCTGCATTTAATCTTCAGCGATACTTAAAAAAAGGATTTAAAGACGATCACTTCTAGAGCAGTGAGAAAATATACAGTGAGAAGCAGGGGGGTGCACAAGCGCGTGGGGTGGGGGGGCGGATTGAGTGGTGGGCTAGGAACCAGGAGACTAGTGTTTGGTGTGGTGGTTAAGAGTGCGGACTCTGATCTGGGAGAACCGGGTTTAGGGTTGCCAACCTCCAGGTGGGGCCTGGGGATCTCCTGCTTTTACAACTGGCCTCCAGCTGACAGAGGTCAGCTCCCCTGGAGAAAAGGGCTGCTTTGAAGGGTGGACTCCATGGTACTGTACCATGCTGAGGCCCCTGCCCTCCCCAAACCCCCACCCTCTCCTGGATCCACCCCCAAAGTCTCCAGGTATTTTCCAACCCGGGCCTGGCAACCCTAACCGGGTTACATTCCCCACTCCTCCGCATGCAGCTGCTGGAGTGACCTTGGGTCAGCCACAAGTTCTCTCAGAGCTGTTCTCTCAAGGGCAGTTCTCGGGAGAGCTCTCTCGGCCCCACCTGCCTCACAGGGTGTCTGTTGTAGGGGAGGAGATTGTAAGCCGCTCTGAGACTCCCAAGTGAAGGGCAGGGTATAAATCCGATCTCCTCCTCCTCTGCATCGTCATGAAAACTCACTGGTTTGAGCTTGGGCCAGTGATGTGCCCTCAGCCTTCATCTTGGGCCTACTTGTGTGGCCTACAGGCTCTGGGGAGGCCTAGTAGCTCCAGGGAAGCCTGTATTGGAGTAGTCATCAGGGACTACATTTCCCAGGTTCCCTCTGGACCCTGTGAGTGGGTAACAGGAGATTTTGGAGAGAAAACTACCCCTGCAGGGGAACAGAGGGCGGTACCTGGGTGGAGGAGATAGAAAGCCTTGCCCGGAGTGGGAGGGGGGGTTCTCTCTCAGGGAGCAGCAGAAGGGGGGAGTTAGACTGTGAACGGGCACCTCAGAAAGGCTAGGACTGTGTGTGGACAGACGCGTTGGGATTTCTTATTTCACTGATTTACCTGCCTTTACTTTGCTCATTTTTCTTACTTGTCATTAATCTAAAATTGTAATTCCGTCTATTAATACAGACTAGTTGTTACCAGTGTTCCCTCTAAGCTGAGTTAGTGTGAGCTAGCTCACAGTTTTTTAGCCTCCGGCTCACACATTTTTGTCCTAGCTCAAGAAGCATGGCTCCAGTGCAAACTAATGTATGCAGTAACCAAATTGCTCACTCACAACCTTAATGCCAGTAGCTCACAAAGTAGAATTTTTGCTCACAAGACTCTACAGCTTAGAGGGAACATTGGTTGTTACTCCGCCTGGGTCCTCACGCCTCATTTGGTCACGTACAAGGGGAAGCCTGTTGTAAGAGTATTGTAAAAAGGGGTAGGGTGGGTGCTCAGGGCCTTCCCAAGGAGAAGGAGGAGAAGAAGAAGAGATTGGATTTATACCCCGCCCTTCACTCGGAGTCTCAGAGCGACTTACAGTCTCCTTTCCCTTCCCCCTCCTCACAAAAGACACCCTGTGAGGTAGGTGGGGCTGAGACAGCTCTGAGAGAACTGCCCTTGAGAGAACAGCTCTGAGAGAACTACGGCTTGCCCAAGGTAATCCAGCAGCTGCAAGGGGAAGAGTGGGGAACCCGGTTCTCCCAGTATAGAGTCCGCGCACTTAACCACGACACCAAAGGAGACCCATACCAGAGTGGTGGCAGCCAGTAGTGAACTTTCCTAGCCGCTGCTTGCGACACGACCTCTTAAGGGCAGATGTGAGGACCAACTGGCAGGGTCCATGAAGCTGGATTCCACAAAGAGGCCTTGAATAACACTTGGTTGGTCTTAAAAGTGCCACTGGACTTGCACTTTGTTCTGGCAGGGACCATGTTATGCGCTCCTAAATTCCCTGGAGAAAAGG